CAACCACTGGGCAGTGCAAGTGCTGGGCGGCCCTGCCGCGGCAGACCGCGTGGCCGCGGCGCACGGCTACCTCAACTTGGGCCAGGTGAGTGCAGCCAGACCCGCGCGCCCAAAACTTTCCCGGCCCGGGCGGCGCGGCCAGGCGCGAGGGGGCGCCTCCGTCGCCTGCCGGGCCCGCAGCACCGCGGTCGCGCGTGGGGATGGTCGGAGCTGCGCGGGCCCGGCGGACTGGGGGAGGCCAAGACGCCGGGCGGGGAGTCTCCCCGGGAGCGCGGCCCGCGGGACAGTTGGCGGGGGCCTCAAGGTGGCTCTCGTGGGCGCCCACGCAGGCCCGGCGCGCCAGGGGAGGTCCCTGGGCGGTGTCACAGCGCTTGGAAGTGTGGGCTCTGAGCCGAACCCGTCGGGACACCTGCCTGCCTGGCCGGGCGGGAGAGAGCCTTCTCGGCGGCCGCTCTCTTCCCGCTGGCGCTGTTCTCCAAGCCCACTACACTCTCTGTGGCCCCTGAGCCCCGGCCCTGCTCTGCCACCCCAGCACTGGGGCTCCGGAACCTGTGCGGGCGCCAGGCGGCTCTCTCGGTGACAGGAGCTTGGCTCGAGTGTCAGGGACCCGCGCTCCTCGGTGTCCGCAGCTCTGCGGGAGGGTGACCACATGCCTGCTCCCGAGGGCCGGAGGTGGGGGTCCTGTGTCAGAAACCTCTGGGGTGGGGGGGGGGCAGGCAGGGAAGTTGTTTTGTTTCTGGAGTCCTGCGCGGTTCGAATGGCAGCTCCGCATACTAGCCTTGTGACCTAGGCAAGTCACTTCCCTGTCTGAGCTGCCCGCCTTGCTCCTCTGTAGGGACGGACCGGGACATTGCCTGCCCCGTGCATTTGTAGCGACGATCTGATGGGGTCCCGGTCAGAGAGCGCCGGCCGGGGCTTGGCCCACTGCGGGCGGGTTACCGTGCCTGGAGTCCGCCCTCGGCCTCTGCCCCGGGCAGGAAGGCGGCAAGACTCAGAAGGGACCGCCAAGGCGGGGCCCTTTTCCCGCCCCAACCCCGCGGAGCGCTCGGGGGCGGAGGTTTGAAGCGGATTTATGGCCGGCGGAGGGGCCTCAGCAGCCTGAAGAGTGTGGTCCCGCCGGGGAACTCCATGCAGTTAACAAATCTGACAAACTACACTGTCAGACGATCTAGTGAGGTGACAGGGACGCGCTGCCCCATAACTCAAACCCTAGTGCCAGGCAGTGTTTAGTTTCATCATTATCCCTGACAGAAGCCAGCAAAGTGTGGTGCGGACCCGATATAAATGACATTTCTTCTGCATCTGACGTCCCATGCTGATGCTGTTAATGGGAGGTGTGTCTCCTTCTGGAAGAGTAGATTCTGCCATTCGAACTATACTTTGCGAGGCGGGTCAGAGTTTACCTGAAAGAATGCAATCACGACTTTTGTGTATCTTTTTTTATGTGTGTTTTGGCTGCTCAGATGCTTTCAGACATCCTCTGATTTAAGAGTCTGCGGTTGGATAGCACTGACTTGTTTCTCTCTGTAGCTTCTAAATCTTTCGGCCAGTTATCCAGAGTGAAGATGGTGATCCTCAGGGTTCCACCCTGGTCATGACCCCTCTTGTTTGCTTAGGGCCCCGGCTCCTGCCACACTTGGCTGCCCTGCCCAGGTGGCCCCTGCAATTTGTCTCCAGCTAAAAGTGACTCTTAAACTGCCCAGTAATTTACAAAGAGCTTGGGTTTCTGGTTCCTGTAAGAGGGAGCTGAAGTTGAGCTGTGACCTTCTGCGAGAGAGGCAGAGAAGCCATTTAACTCCTCCTGCAGTTCCTGTCCATAGGCTTCAAAAATGCGTGACCCCTGGCCAAGCCTGGCCTTGGAAACAGCTTAAGTCAGACTCACTGAGTGGCTTATGCACAAAATGCGCTATCCCCATGTTGCCTGTGGGAAGCGAGATTTCCCCCCATCTGCAGCCCCTCTGCCCTGGGACGTTTTGGGAAGTCTCTCAGGGTACCCCAGCTCTACAGACTGCAGCCAGGGTGGAGTCCACAGCCTGGACATGGTAGGCACACGGCTGGGTGGTGATGCTGTGGAGCCATTCGCTACTGAGGAAGTAGTTTGTTGGGAACACAAGCCATCCCAAAGGCAGAGAGGGGCTCGTGTGTGTGATTACAAGGAGGGCCTATTCCTCTTTATTCCCCAGCCAGCTTTTTTCTTCCCCCTCTAAGTGCACTGCTAATGTGGAAAAGGCCTGAAGCAGTCCAGCCTCTACTCACTCAATAAGAACTCTTTAAAAACCTTATTTGCCTTTTTTCAGCCAGGAGAATTTGTGACTCATAAATAAGATGTAGATATTAATAGCTTTGATTTATAGATGAGTAAACTAAGTGAAGCAAGGGAAGGGAGCTGTTTGTGTCCATGCGGAAACATGTGTCACCTCTGTCAATTCTGCTCCCTGCTCTGTGTCTGCAGCCATATTCCCTGGTTCAAGATCTCTGTGTGACTCTCTCTCCAAACCCTTAATGGGCAATTAGTGGTAGCTCTGTACCTGCCCTGACTCACACGGATCTTCGTTGTGTGCTAAGTTCTTGCTTGATTGTTTTACTTTCTTTCATATGACTGATTAAGCTTATTTTACATGGTCCAAAGCTAACTTGGAGTAGTGATTGTTCACCTTTCTTGAATTAGGGATCCCTTTCAGAGTCTGATGAAGGCTCTGGATTCTCTCCATTGAAAAATATACACTGTCAGGAACAAACCAGGTTTGCCTCTTTTTGCTGCTCTACCCAGCATTGCAGAGCCCTGGTGGTGTAGTGGTTAAGAGCTTGGCTGCTAATCAAAACGTCAGCAGTTCGAATCTACCAGCCGCTCCTTGGAAACCGTATGGGGCAGTTCTACTCCGCTCCTATATGGACGCTATGAGTTGGAAATCACTCACCGGCAACAGGTTGTTTTTGGTACCCGGCATTATAGGAGTCCCTGGGTGGTGCAAATGATAAGGTGCTTGACTAGTAACTGAAAGGTTGGTGGTTTGAACCTACCCAGAGGCACATCAGAAGAAAGTCCTGGCAATCTGCTTCTGAAAGGCCATAACCTTTAAAACGCTCTGGAGCACAGTTCTACTCTGACACACACGGGGTCACCATGAGTCAGAATGGACTCACCTACAACTGGTTTGGTTGGTTTTTTTGGTATTCAGTATTGTACTGGAGGTCCCAGTTAATGCAACAAAATTTTAAAAAGGAAAAGAAATAAAGATTTGGAAGAGTCAAAATTTTCGTTATTGACGGACAACGTAACTACTGACGTTGATAATCTAAGAGAAGCTAGAGACTATTAGAACTAATAAGAGAGCTGAGCGGATTGCTTGATTAATTATAGCTACCCATACAACAGCAACATCTGAGTAGACAAAAGAAATTATAAATCACTCTAGCATAAAAACTATAAGATACTTAAAAATAAATCTAAAAAAACAAAGTGAGATTTTTACGGAGAAAATTACAAAATATTTAAAAGAAGATTGAAAAAAAAAAAGCCTGAGTAAATGATATATTAAATCATATTAAGAAATAAAAATGTCAGAATAAATGATACACTGTGTCCATGTAGGAGCCCTGGTGGCGTAGTAGTTAAGCATTTGGCTGCTAACTGAAAGGTCGACAGTTCGAATCCACCAGCTGCTGCTTGGAAACCCTGTGGGGCAGTTCTACTCTGTCCTATAGGGTTGCTACAAGTTGGAATCAACTTGATGGCAATGGGTAATAGGTATGTTCATGTATGGGAGGACTTAATATCACAGTTGTCTCCCCAAATTAATCCATAAATGCAATATAATCTAGTTTAAGCCCCAACAGGATTTTACATGGAATACAAAATCATCCATACTGATTCTAAAATTCATGTGGAAGAGTCAGATCCAAGAATACTTAGGACAGTTTTAAGAAAGAAGAACCAGGAGGGGAGCAAGAGTTACCATAAAGCCGAAGTCATCACAACAGTTTGGCATTGGCCCAGTGGTGGTCTAATCCATCAATGGAATAGACTCAAACACAAGCACATATGAGAACTTGTCTACATAAGCAGAAGAGTTACAAGTGGATGAGGACAAGTTGGGCTTATTTATAAATGGTGCTGGGAGAATTGACTCTACATGGAAAAATAGTTTGATCCTTGTAATGTGTTCTGACTTGCTTGGTGCCCGTTATCCCTTCTTTCCCTCCAATTCCTCCCATTGGTAATGGAAATGTCTAACTTGTGCCTGTTCCACCATTGTACTTTGGAAGCAGATGATTTATATTCTAGATTTCACAGATTAAGAGGGATTTCTAAATTTTAGAGTTGGAGTTGATTTAAGACTTTTGCTATGATATGGTGGGATGAATGTGTTTTACATGTGGGAAGGACTTGAATTTTTGGAGGCCAAACAGTGGAATGTTATGGATTGAATTGTGTCCCCCCAAAATATGTGTCAACTTGGCTAGGCCATGATTCCCAGGATTGTGTGATTGTCCTTCATTTTGTCATCTGATGTGATTTTCCTGTGTGTTGTAAATCCTACGTCTATGATGTTAATAAGGCAGGATTAGAGGCAGTTATGTTAATGAGGCAGGACTCAATATACAAGATTAGGTTATGTGTTGAGTCAATCTCTTTTGAGATATAAAAGAGAGAAGCTACCAGAGAGACAGAGGGACCTCATACTACCAAGAAAGTAGTGCCAGGAGCAGAGTGCATTCTTTGGACCCAGGGTCCCTACACTAAGAAGCTCCTAGACCAGAGGAAGATTGATGACAAGGTGCCCTGGATTTGGACTTCTAGCCTCCTAGACTGTGAGAGAATAAATTTATTTGTTAAAGCCATTCATTTGTGGTATTTCTGTTATAGCAGCACTAGATAGCTAAGATAATCCTCAATTTACACTATATGCAACAGTAAGTTCCAGATAGGATTAAAGACATGAATGGATGCAAAACCTTTAGAAGTAAATTTAGTAGAATGTCTTTATGATATTGGGAAAGGAAAGGATTTTTTCAACAAGGTACAAAAAGAAGAAATTAAAAAAAGAAAAACTGATAAATTAGAATAAAAACTGTATATAACAA